GAAGGAACACGGTGTTGCCATCATAAAAAATAGGACTTTCATGGACATCTACTTTTAGACTTTCTAAAGTGCGACGGGGAGTAAAATCTAAAGGTGGGCCTATTTTTAAAAAAAGTTGAATTAGTATTTAGACAGTAATGAGTTCTTGCTGGAGACCAAGGCTTTTCAGATAGGAAAAAAATATATATCTGTTTTATTTTTTATTTTTTTTATTTGTGCTGATAAATAAATAAAGGGAGACTAGTATATATATATATAAATATATTTCTCGCAAACCCTCCCTATTTCTCAGAAGTAACGTTGTTCGATGAGAAGAATCCAGTCAGGAGATATTTCAATTTGATCAAGGGCATAAAGAAATGATTGAACCTTAGTCAAGCAACAAAACCCTGCATTTCTACCATGTTTTCCCGAAAATAAGACAGGGTCTTATTTTCTTTTGACCTCTGAAATAAGCGCTCGGCCTTATTTTCGGGGAGGTCTTATTATTTTTGAGGTGCAGGAGGCAGCAAGCGTGGTCACCTCAAGGCTTTTGCTGCTGTGTTGCAATATTTTTGGGGAGGGCTTATTTTTAGCGCATGCGCGCAAAAGCCCCGATGGGGCTTATTATCTGGGGAGGTCTTATTTTCAGGAAAACAGGGTAGTTCCACTCGATCTACAATCAGTTAATCCGCATTTTCATTTTGTTTCCTTGGGGAGCGATGGCGCTCGCTTCTATCTTAGACGAAATCAGATTGAAAAGAAGGAAAGGAAATTTTTGCACCTTGGGGGGGTGGGGGGAATCAAAAAAATGCATATTTAAGAACCTGCCCCATTCTAGTTTTTTAAGAAAGCACAAAGATATGTAGCTGTTTACAAAATAGAATATCTATCTGTCTATATATATATTAATTAAAAGAAATAGAGAGAGATATATCTTTATTCCCAGCCTAGATATTTGGCATAAGTTGCTGTTTAATTTATTAAACCTGAAATGTAGACAGGACATCTCAAGCGAAGAGGGAGAAACTGAGATTCTTGTTCGACTTCAGTTCACATCGTGCTCATCCCTCTTTTTGTGTCGATCACATGGCTTTATGTGGCTGTAATTGATAACATGTGGAGGCATCATTTAAACCCCATTCCAGATAATATTTCTGTGTAGTGTTAGCTGTGAATTTACCTTGTACAGCTCTATTGCTATAAATATAATTCCATGTATTAATAGTCACAGAAAAAGCTGAAAGTGAGCAACTATTTTTATGAAACACCACTATGGATAAATTAACTTTTACAGAAATCTTGTTTACTGTATGATATTCTAAACCACTCAAATAAAATATATATCCAAGAATCTTTTTTTTCCCAACTGTTTATGCCGTGTAATTCATTATGGGAGGAAGCGTCCGGACACCAAGAATCGTGAAGGACACGTGGAGTAACTTCGGAGTAGTTCCTATATATTGGTGTGCACTTGCGACTGAATCTTGCCGAACTAAAGCAATTATCTACATTGCTATAGATACAGATAGTCCTCAATGTACCACAATGGAGACAGGAATTTCCCATTGCTAAGCAAGGCAGTTGTTAATAGAACTGTGTCCCATTTTATAACCTTTTTTGTCACAGTTGTTAAATGAATCACGGCAGTTGTTAAGCTAGTTACACAATTGTTGAATCTCTGGCTTTGTTTGTCAGAAGATCACAAAAAGTGGCCACATCACCCTGGTAAGACCACAATTGTCATAATCATTTGCCAAACGTCCACATTTTGATCACATAACCATGGGGATATTGCGACAGTAGTGGGAAAAACCGTCATAGGTCACTTATTTTCAATGCTGTTCTAACTTCAAACAGTTAACCAAACAAATGGTTATACGTTTAGGATTATCTATATTCTCTGAACTGCTAGGGAATGTCTGCTTTTGCATTCTTCCTGCCCACCAGACATTCCAAACTCAGAATAACAGAGCTGGAAGGGAGCTGGAAGGGACCTTGGAGGTCTTCTAGTCCAACCCCCTGCTCAAGGAGGAAACTTGATACTATTCCAGACAAACAGCTGCCAATCTCATCTTGAAAACTTCCAATGTTGGAGCAGCTACAACATGGAGGCAAGTGTTGTGACCGCCAGCCCCTCCAGCAGCTGAATCAGAGGAAGAGGAAGAGGCGTGGGAGTCAGGGTCAGCATGAAGGCAACTTGAGAGCTCCGAGGGGGGAGAGGGAATGGGGCTGTCACAGAGGGGGGGAGAGGGAAAGAGGGAGGGACAGAGCCTGGGGCATCTGTCAGCCCTTAGGCGGAGAGTCAATAGCCCCCAGGTCTGGAGGTGGCTGATGAGGAAGAGGAGGAACAGCTGGGTCCAG